TTGATTAAGTACTAGATCTATTCATTTCCTTGTCCGCTAGCTATTCTACCATTAACCATCAGCACCAACCAAGCTCAACTCAGACATCAACCCCTGCTGAAATCGAATATCCACCTGCATTCGCTATCTCCCATTTCGACTTCCATGCCTGCCTGCCTGCTTTGGAGGGCTGCTACAGAGGCAAGATGGTCGATCAATGTCACCTCTTCCTCTTTAATTCCCGCCTCCTCCATTTCCTGCATTTCCACCCTCATTTTGTTGCTGTTTCATACTTCTTCAGTCAGACGACACTTCCTCTTCTTCTTTTTTGGCAACTCCTTGGCACTGTTATTCCTGGTTGCTGTACCCTAGTTACTCTCACTAAATAGGCAATTATATTAATTACTAGTACACAGTAGTGGAATCTGCAGCTGCTTCGTTCGTACTCAAACTTGGCTGCATCCAGTAAAAAAGAAAGAAAGAAAGACCATCTACGCAACTGCAGCTGAGACTAATTGCACACCTGAAAAACAACGTAACTCGTGTCATGGTTGGTTGTTCTTGCAATGGACCGACCTCAAGACATTTTTCGTGGTGACAGTTCCATATCATGGATTTCATATTCTTGCAAACTTTTGCTTCTGCTACACCAATTGCCAGCTACCAGCAACCAACCACCAACAGTGAAGTAAATACCATTCAGGTCCAGGGATCAACCTTCTGTCCGTTATAGTTTATACTCCTCTCCTTTACCTCAATGCTCCACCTTTATTGATTTTACTCCTGCATTCACCACTTCTATCACTATCCCCACTGGAGTACTGGAACCTCTTACTGTCACTGCCGCCTGAATCTGAGGTCCCCATTCAGACTAGTAGACAAGACTAAAAAATCTCTTGTGCAAACGCTAGAGCCCTTGCCCGGCTTGCCGACGTCAGATTTAATATCAGTTCTCTTAAGCAGATTCCTATTCCTCACTGGAACGGCATACTCTTATCATCCGGATAATAACTACTCTATATACGATTTATTCCTCTTTGATTGTACAGGCTGACGTACGGACTGGACTACAAAGGGAACATATGTGGGAGCAGGCATGGCGATCCTGATTTGCGTGAGTTGGATGTTCGCTATTGGGTGAACCCCAACCAGGTCTACCAAAGTGGCCTCAAAACCAGTCACATCGACCTACCTGACGCTAAAGCCATCTGCCTGATGGAATGCCCACTTCCTGCCGAAGATGGCTTGAATTTTGTTTGCGATTATCCAGAAGGTGACATACGCCTCTCTGTCGATGATTGGATTGACAGGGATTACGATTACTTCGAGTACCTCACACCAGACATGAGGAATAGTTCTCTCCAGCTGCAGGGTCCTTGTTACCCTGTCATCTTTCCAAGTGTAAATGGTAAGTCTCACATGAATATCAGGTCTTTGATGTCTAGCAGCATCATACCAACTTTTAAGAAATTGACCTCTGGTCACTAATTTTGATCTCTGTCACTTCAGTCTACTGGAGCTGCCAGTTTATTGCACGGGCATCCAATGCCTCTTTGAAGCATTGGAAGGCCATGGGTGGTGTCAGCATCGATGAAAACATGCTAATAGACAAAACAATTCATGATGCAATCAACAGCAAATCTGCCGTCATGAAGGTTTGTGATGCTCCTGAAACTACTTGCACTCTGTCAATTTACTTTATTTGTATCAAGAATTTAGCAACAAACAAAATGCTGCTCCTTTTCACATGTGTGCAACAGGTTTAATAGAAGTTTAAAAAAAGTGTTTTGATGATGGGCATGCTTTTAACCTATAAGTTACACGAATGATTCTATGAAGTATGAATCATCCAAAACAAGAAGATGGTAGCAGACACCTGCGATGAATATGCAAAACAAAACTGTTATTTATTAGATATCAACCGGCCTATCTGCTTGTAAATTATCTGAACTCAAAACTATATTTCCTTTTTAAAAGTGACATTTTCCGTTTTTTGCAGAGATATGTTGCAGATATTGGGAAGTCCTGGCCTGTGTTAATCCTTTGTGGGGGATTACTCCCTCTGTTCCTATCTGTGATCTGGTTACTCATGATTCGCTTTTTTGTTGCTGGGATGTCTTGGATAACAGTGGTGGTCTTCAATGCTCTTGTGATATCTGTTACAATGTTCTTCTATATAAAAGGTGGGATACTTCTCATTATAGACACACTAAGTATCATAATATGACCGTTATTGTTTCTCACACTTAATCTTATACACGATTTCACGTCTTCTAACTACTTTATGTACTCAGCTGGTTGGATTGGCCATGATCCTTTGACTGTTGTAATTGGTGAAAGTGATCCTTATGTTAGCATAGGTGGACGGGTATGTTTTCTGCCTCATGTTGGAGCCATTTTGAGCAATATCCTGTTAAGCTGCTCATTATCTCATCGTCCATCTTCAATCAGGAGATAAATCACCTTCATGCTGCTTCCGTCTTGATGACAGTGATAATGATACTTGCTTTCCTGACTTCAATAGCTATTGCTCGGCGCATTATGATAGCAACATCTGTCCTGAAGGTATGTACAGTGCTGAATCTATTGGTTTCACATGTGAACCATTTTATTAAATGGATATTTTACTGGGGGTTACAGCTAACATATGCATTAATTTATATCTGATAGCATGACAGTGCGTCAAACTTTTTATATGACATCATTTATAAAGTTTTTCTCATTTGCTCTTCCATTGTATTTTTAGAGCACTTATCTGAGTTAACTTTTTAGGTTGCTGCAAAGGTCATTGGCAAAGTCCAGGCACTTATTATTTTTCCAGTTGTGCCATACTTCATCCTCGCTATCTTTTACATGTTCTGGTTTTCAGCAACACTTCATCTTTTCAGCGCCGGTCAAGTTATACGAAATGATTGTAATAATGATTGCTGTTCCTATGATCTCAAACTTGGCAAAGTAAATTGTGACAGCTGTTGTGGCTACAGTATCCATTACACCCCACATATTGGTATCGCCATTCTTTTCCATTTTTTTGGCTGTTATTGGGCAACGCAATTTTTCATCGGGTGTTCTTCAACTATAATTGCTGGATCAGTTGCTTCATACTACTGGGCACGTGGTGAAATATCGGTAAGCATCTCAGAAACCTAACTCTGGTCTCTGGTATAGAATTGTAACTACGAAATAGATCTCAATTTTCTGAGGATTTTCATCTTGTTTATAGCTTTATTACCAGAGGGATACTATTTTCATGTGACTGATGTTTGGTGTGTCACATTTGTGATGCAGCATGATATCCCTTTCCATACCGTGGTATCTTCCCTGAAGCGCTTATTGCGCTATAGCCTGGGATCTGTGGCTCTGGGCTCTCTGATTGTGTCCATCGTAGAGTGGGTGCGATTCATACTCGAGTCACTACGCCGCAGGCTGAAATTTGTTAATTCTGCCCGTGAAAGCAGGTTTGGGAAGACAGTATCATCCTCATCTCAGTGCTGCTTAGGCTGCATTGATTGGACCCTGAAATCAGTGAATCGAAATGCTTATGTCATGGTAGGTATCAACGTTCTCTGTCTATAGCTAGATTTCTGGTTAGAAGGCGTTATATACGTTCTAATTTCTCTAAGTTTCCTCCCAATTAGTTTAGCGTGCATTTGTAGCAGTATGATGAAAAATGCTTGTTATTCTGACCCCAATAGGTTGCTAAATATATTTTGGGATTTTGTACTACAGATTGCCATTACAGGGAAAGGATTCTGCAAGGCTTCCGAGCTAGCAACTGAGTTAATCATGAACAACATATTGCGTATTGGGAAAGTGAATGTCATTGGGGATGTGATTCTTTTGTTGGGCAAGCTTTGTGTTAGCCTGTTGTGTGCACTGTTTGCCTTCCTTATGTTGGATAAGCACAAGTACAGATCTGGCCATAACAAGATATCATCGCCACTAGTCCCCGTGCTGGTAAGTGATCATCAAGCTTTGCAGCATATGGTTGAGTTCCTCTATCTTGGTGCAATTTGGATGAAGAAGTTTTTTTTTCGAACATAATTTGGATGAAGAAGCTGATGACTGATAAACATGCAACATTCTCTTTTTTTTTTTGGCAGTTGTCGTGGGCGCTGGGTTATATAGTTGCAAAGCTTTTCTTTGCAGTGGTGGAGATGTCGATCGACACTATGGTCCTGTCATTCTGCCAGGACTCGGAAGAGCATCAGGGAAGCGCGCAGTATGCGCCCCGGCTACTGATAGAGACACTGGATGAGGAGAGCGAGTTGCGAAGACTGACACAGGGGCCATGAACCATTGTCTTCCAAATACGAGTAGGGCTAGAGCTAGAATTGAAACTGAATGGCGTGTTATCTGTAATGTTGGTTGGTCGGCTTTATTTGACCATGTCTTTTTATTTATATGAATCACTGGGGTGAAAGTGCGAGTAATCAAGGTGATTATAGTTATGGATGGATTATTGTGCGTGCTTGCTTCCCTGACGTAATAGCTGTAAGCTGTAAATATGACGGTGATGGATTCATAGGTTGTATCTTGTATGTATGTACAAGTACAGCTTGCTGCCCCTGAGTCTGTCATAGGTGGGAAATTGGAAAGGCATGACTACTTGCATTTCATGATTTCGTGCCCCTGAATCGTCATCCAGATAGGAAAATAAGCAAACTTAGGGCATGTTTGGAACGCCGAAATTTTTTCATGTTCTTATGTTTTCCTGTGAAATTAAACTGATTTCTGTAAAATTCCTGCGTGGCCCTTATGATTTACAACAAAGCAATCCAGCACTGGCAGTGACAAAAGACAAGGAAAGCAGTGGGCAAATACTAGAAAACACACACTCAGACATTTCTGGCACGCATAAGGCAGGAATCAGGCAAGGGGAGAGACTCGATGATCCTAGCGCTACTCTACTCTACTCCAGTCTCCAGTGCGAGAAGGAAGAACAAGGACTCCAGCTTATTCTAATTGGACGTACAGTGCTTGCAAAAAGCTAAGGGCTCCAACAATCACTCATCAGGTACTCAGGTGCAGATGGGGAGGGCGTTGCAGGAATGGGAACACTTGGCGGCGCACTTCTTGTGGGCGGCCATGGTGCACTTCTTGGCGCACACCAGCCGCTTCAGGTGGCAGTCCTTGCTCGTCACGCACTTTGCCGGCGGCGATGGCTTCTTCGTCGACGTCGCGCCGCCCTTGGGCTTCTCCTTCTCCTTCTCCTTGTTCCCGTTATCGTCCTTGCTCTCCTTCTTCTCTGCTCCTCCTCCTCCCGCTGCTGGAGAGGGTGACGACGACAGCGAGGATGATCCACTGCTGCTGCTGCTGCTGCTGGTGACGACATCGTCCTTCCTCCCGGCAGCAGCCGCCGCGATGGTCTTCGCACTCATCTCCGCCTCGGCAGAAGCACAAGCTCCGACGGCGGCTAGGAGGATGACGACGAGGAGCAGCAGCGAGGCCCCGGCGAGCCGGCAGCTGGAGCAAGCCATGGTAGCGTACGTCAGCGTACCACCGTACGTACACCCTTGACCTGCAGCTAGCTACTAGCATGTAGTAGTGTCTCTCGATCGATCGGCAACAATGTGGGCCATGTGGCTACATATATATGGATCGGATCGGAGTCGCGGTCAAGTCTTTTGCAGATGGGTGGAGGGTGTGCTCCAACTACTCATTCAACACGGTCATGGGCTCATGGCTGCTGCATGATTCGATCTGCCATGTCTGCAGTATCCGCCCCTTGTGTGCAACTGTGCATATGGTTTGGTGGGCAATGGCAGGGGCATGCATGGGTACATGTACATGCAGGGATGAAACCAGACAGAATTTTCCATTTTCTACTTTGTTTGGAATATTAGACTAATCACTTCAACAATATCGTGTAACTTCATACATGCATATTTATTTTGATCCCATTTTTTATCCCGACTTTTCCAAACATAGATCTCGTTTCCACCAGAAAAATAGAGAAACGAAAGCGTGCAAAAGAGGGGTTTTCGTCTATTTTTCATCCCTAGATACACGCTGCGCTCCACTAGCCTGCAGCGGTGCAGCCCAAGGATCCATTCCATGTACGTCCAGATTATTGTTTGGCGTTCGTGTTCCAGCCCAAGTTTGTCACGTACGCACGGACACATGTCAAGAACTCAAAATGTGAGTGCAACGAGAGTGCTTTATCTTATCCTATAATAGGCACATTCGTCGTGCGAGTGATCTTAGACCCCAAAAGGTTAGATGAGGGCATGTTACAACATGGATTGTGGTTTGGGAGTTTTCTTAAGGGTTCAAAGGTTGGTTGTATGGTACGGTGGTTGTGGATGTATGGCAGCGAAGGCGCCACCAAGGGAGCGACATTGGACGGACGATAAGAAGGATCTGTAGTGGGGCCTAGTGGCGGTGATGGTTAAGGTAGGGTGAGGTGGAGGAGATGGGGATAGGTGGTGGACAGCATTGCCCAGCGGTGAGGTAGCCGTCTTAGCTTGGATAACAATATGTAATGACTCAGAGGAGGTAAACTTGGGTCACTAGTGTAATATGAACAACGCTAGTTATGATTTTAAACATAGGTGGCGTAATCTAGAGTTTCAGCCAATAGATGTTTGTAGACAATATGTCACATACATATAGCATCCCTTTAGAACTCAGAGATTTCGTAGAAATTGTATAGGAGTCGGTTTATTTTCACAAGAAATAAGAAAAAGAAATCATGTATTCTAAAGGGGCCTTAAGCCGTGGTCTATTGAAAATGGATGATGGGAAGAGTGGACAGGGAGCATGTGGCTTGGTCATTTTTGCTAACAGTAGCGCCCTTGCGCCTATACAGAGGCTTTGATACGTTGATAAGTTAGTCACCTGCATCCCTATCCGGTGAAGACGTGCTTTTTTACAACATTACTAAAGACGAATTGAGATAATAAAAAAAGAACTAAAGATAATGCACCCTCTCTCACGCAAAACAAAATCAATCAAGAGTTAAGAGGACTACTTATATATGTCTTTGATCAACCCGACTAACCCAAGCATGTAAGATTGCCAGTAACAGCATGCCGTTTTGTTTTAAAAGGTTTGCTAGATCCTTTTTTTTAAAGGACTAGCAAAACTCCTTACATGTTACATTAATCTCTTTCTACTATTTAAAGGAGGCAGCGCTAGATTGCGGGCCCGTAGAAGCTCTGTCAAACAGTTTTTTAGGGAGAAGTGATTCTTCGTTGATTCTGTGAACTGATTCCTTGAATAAACTAAGAGGCTAGGAACTGAAAAAAATAGCTTCTTCTAATTCTGTGAAGTGATTCTCTATCGTAATTTTGAGAGTTTATTCTAAAAGAATCAAAGAGAATCCCTTCTAGCCATATAATCATTTCTCTCATAGAATCGGCTTCTATAGGGAATCAGAAATAGATGGAGCTCTATCAAACTAGCTCTGCTAGAGGTACAATAAATCCAACGATAATGCTGGGTATAGGGCGTCCGTCCACCAAGACAGGGCCGATGGTGGGCCGTGACGCAGCCCAATAACCACATCTTATTTGCTCATCCACTCACCCCAACCCTTGTAATAAAAAGAAAAAATTCACCTCACCGTAGCGCCGCGACAACTCTCCGCGACCATGCTCCGTCGTGCCGCCTCGGCGACGGCGCTCTCCATCGCGCTTCCCTCTCCACCGCGCCTCCCTCTCCATCGCGCCTTCGCTCCGCTGGCCAACATCTCCTCTGCGCCAGAGCACGACAGCCCATCTTCCTCCCTCTCCACCATGCCTCCCTGAAAGGACCGAGGATGCCGCCTAGAGGGGGGTGAATAGGCGTTTCTAAAATTCAACCCTTCAAAATACGGAAACTATTAGTATTGGAGTTTCTAATTTCTTGGAAACTCTAAATTAGAGAATTAAACCCCTCACGAGTCAATCAAAGAGTAAATAACAAGTACTAAATAAGTGTAGGAGCTACAATCCTGCAACACAAAGATTAGAACAGAGAATAAATAATTTAGGCGCTAGTGAGAAATACGGACACGTCCGGTATTCACGAATTCTGCAGACCAACTCCCAACATGCCCTTTCGGTTTCTCCTTTCACACCAAGTTGCAGGGACCAACAAGTAACCTGTTTGCAAGCTCAAGCGACACACGAAGATCATAAATACCAAATGAAAAGAGAGATCGAGACACGGTATTAGTTTTACCGAAGTTCGGACTCCGTCGAGTCCTACTCTCCGTTGAGGGGGCTGCGAGTGACCCAGCGAAGGTCAACTCTAGAGGACCACGAAGGCCACTCTAGCCAGAGTCTTTTCCAACTCATTTTCCTCCTTCCACTAGTTGATTCCTTCCCTTGCGTGGAATCGAACCTTTACAAACTTTCCGAGGCACACCACAATGTCTTGGGTGCTCTCTGGTGACACCTAGCCGTCTAGAACCGAAGAGTCCAAAAGTAACAAATGCAAATCACGAGATCGACAATATGCATAAGTGCTCAAGGGTGGCTTACTCTCAAATTTGAATCTCACTCAACCCACAAGATGGATTTTGTAACTTTGAATCAATCACTCACTAAGAGAGGGTTGGAGAGTGTTCTTAAGGCTCAAAAACATGTGAGAATGTCAGCAGAATCAGCAGCCTCCAAAGGTGGAGGCTAAGGGGTATTTATAGCCTCTTTGAAAAACTAGTCGTTATGTGGGTGTTGGGAATACCGGACACGTCCGGTATTGGCCGTATAGCCCAATGGTCACCAATTCAGTAAAGCTGCGAGGCATCAGAACTCCCCACTATTGCTGGGACTTCCAACTCCCGGAACTCTCGACTCTTATCGGAACTCCCGACGAACCAACCCGAGAAAACGGGGAAGGTCACTGTGCCTAGGCAAATACCAGACACGTCTGGTATTGCCAGACTTAGCAAAACGAGTTAGTTCTTTTGGCTCTCAAAAACACTCGAAACCTCACAAGGGTTGGCTTGAGCACTTATGAATAAATATCTATCTACATTATTGTCGGGTATCGATGTTAGGGATACTCAAAGCGAGGAGGTTAGCGCCCATGCTGACTTCCCTGGATGAAGCAAGACGTATTAAAAGGTCTCGTCCGCCCCCAGGGCCACGGGGGTCTCACCCAAGGCCGCGGGCTCTGCCTCACCCGACCCCTTAGGTTCGGGCTCCATCTCGCCCGACCCCAAGGACGTGGTTCCCGCCTGGCCTGACCCCTTGGGTGCGGGCTCCGTCTCGCCCGACCCCTTGGGTGCGGGCTTTGTCTCGCCCGACCCCAAGGACGCGGGGGTCTCACCCAAGGCCGTGGGCTCCACCTCGCCCGACCCCAAGGGCGCAATTTCCTTCTCATCCGACGGGGACCCATACTGCCGCCAACCACTCTAGGTCCAAGCGTATGGGCCTGTGTCAAAACTCTGAACCAGGGAAGAGACAGACATGACTCGATGTAACCCATGGCCATGACGGGCCATACCTAAGGATTCACATTAAGAACAGCGTTGGGCGAGCCGGTGCTGTTCTGCCTAACCCTCGTACGAAAGTTGACAGGCGCGTCAGTTCACCATGATGTCCGCCGGGACAGAATGGAACGCCATGATCGGCAGACGACGCCTGCCCATGGCGTCAGTGATGAATAGGGCCACAATGTGGAGCCATCCCTATTGACGTCTATAGGGTCAGTGGGGCCCGCATGAAGAGGAAGAAGGACCCAACAATCCTAGAAGCCTTCTTCTCTCTCTCGTTCTTCTCCTTTTCCTCCGCTGTAACTCGTGCTTTCCCTTCGCCTATAAAAGGGAAAGCAGGGCGCCCCATGAGGGGGATCCAGATCCACACAAGACCGAACCACAAGATAAAAACACAAGAGCACAACACAAGCACAGGGCTGAGCGGAGATCGAGCTCTCAATACCCGTTCATTCCTTTCACTAGAGACTTGGGATATTTTCCTCTCTCACCTATTTATAACACCTACTGCAAACCAAGTGCCGGTAACACAAGCAGCAGCAAACTAAACATAGGAATGTTCCGCCCGAACCCGTATAAACCCTTGTGTCCTCCGAGCACACCATCCGAGTCAGACGCGCAAATACAAATTTACTCATCGGTGGTCAGAAAACACCGACAGTTGGCGCACCAGGTAGGGGCTTTTTGCGCGTCTTGACATCCACATCAGGCCTCGAATGGCTAGTCACGGCGTCAGCTGGGTCCCGGGCGCGCACGTGCATTTTGGGAACCTAGACTTCATCGTCACGACGGAGGGAGAGTTGGTGCAGGCTCCCGTTGCCGTCCAACCTCTCCACTCCGCCGACCTCGACACGATCGCTGAGGCGCTCGAGGAGCTACGGCTGCATGCACCGGAGGCCCACGCCCCCAGGAGCGACCAGCTCCTTGGCTTCGATTACGGAAGGCTAGAGCGCCAGCTCGGTGCCTTCCTGGGACCCCGACCGTCCCAGGAGGACCTAGGCCGCCTCACCTTCTCCTTCACCAATGTCATAACATAGCTGGCCGGGGGAGAGCCGC